ATCACTCCGCCCGAGTACTTGGCTGAATATGCTAAAAAGGCGCTGTGTTGGCGTTCGTTCGTTGAGCAATTCACGATCCTTAAAAGCGTATTTCAGTTACCTTTTAGGCCAATGTATCATCCATTCCTTCATATAGTGCTGCAATTGGTGATTGCAGTCGCATTGTCGGTCGTGCTGATCTACGCGTGTCGGAGGGAAAAGCTTCATTGGGGCGACGGCAGACGCGAGCGCGCCACGGCCGACATAAGCCAATCAAGCCCTTTTGGCGCTTCGCTGGGACCGTATCTGATTGTTGAGGAGATGATGGAGTCGCCCTACGGGGGACGGAACAACTCCAACTCGTCCTTCAAACCCGCCACAATTTTGTACTACTTCAGACACTAGCCCCTAAAGAGAGCATATTCTAAAAGATACAGAACAAACGCACTTTTGGGCCTTGATCGCATTGAGACATTTATAATCGAATGATTTTTTTCACTCCAAGATAGATATTTGTTTTAATTTATTTATTTATTACGCCGCTTGAGGCAAACGTTAGAAAAAAATACAACACACAGTGAGAAAAATGATGAGTCAAGACAATTATGGAGATGGGATTTCAGGTGAACCTCAAATAATTAGGATATTCTGTAACTTAGAAGTTTGGTAGAAATCTGTCTTAGAAATTTTTCAATGTATTGAGAATAGCAAAAATTTTCGTTATCTTTATATATAAGCTAGCAGCTCTGAATGTAAAACTATTGGCTCTAAGATTGGTTCTGGGCTAGCTATAAGGATTTCAGTCTGACCACCCCTTGTACGAGTGTGTGGTGGAGTAGAAGTTGAAAGGGCCAAATTCATAGATTATGCAAGTTCAGATGCTATGCACCGTGACTCGAGAGTTGAAAGATCAAAATATTTGTTTTTAATCGAAGCTTCAGGAATCCTGGAATAGAAAAGGGTCCTACAACGCAAAAACGTTCCGTGTGGGAATATCACATGGGAGATTACGATGCCTGAAGCATAATCCATGTGACGCGGATACCCGACAGAAGGCCCGTCGCGGCGATGGGTAGCGACGCAGACAGGTCAGTGGACGAGTCGTCGCGTCTACTGCAGTGGCTTTGCATCAAGTTAAGGGACTCGTCCACGGGAAATCATGATCTTATCTCACCCATAAATCACTGGCCTGAGACGATCGTTCACGAGAAAGAACGAAAAGAACAAAAAAGTGTTTCTTTCCTGAACAATCTGAAAGAACCCAGGGTTCCCTTATGCGTTCAGTCCGCCGTACATCTGCCAAAAATGCTGGCGACGGCAACGATTTCACTTGATTCTCGAATTGCCTCAACTAGGAACTCCTTTTGACCTTTTTCACCCCACGACAGTAACATTTTTTTCTACTGCATCCTATCTTAACGTTCATTTCGTCTCTATTCTCCGAATTCATACACTTGAGCCCACTTCTTCTGATGTGTCGCCTGATACGTGGCCACCCCAAGCCGCACTTTTCTATGCGATCCCTTGCTTTCGCTAACCTACTTTCAACCGTCCATAGATTGTGGTTTTCAGTTTGTTTTTTTTTCTCATAAACTGAATCTTTATGTGACAAACTCTGTATGTTGTCTCTAGGGATCACACCTGACATATTCATGTAGGGAAAGAGTGCAAAATTCTTCCGGAGACGATTCCTCTGGATAGAATGCATCAAACTCGTATCACATAGCATTCGTGCCGATTCGTTCACTGACCCGTCTGCGTCTCTACCTTCTTGCCAAACGACGGGCCCCCTGTCGGGTACCCTACGGTCACTACTTAGGACGTACTGATGAACGCACGCTCAAAACGCCTCATGAACTGCTCTTTAACGCCTAGCACAGTCCTCAATCACCCCACCCCTTCCTTTAATCTATTTTTTCTATGAAGCCAGTCAACTACAGCTTACCAAGTTGACGCCGCTCTTCCTCCACTTCCGCAATCTCCAGACCAACCCGATGTGAATTTTCCTGAAGAGTTGTAGCCATACCTAAAATTTCAGTATAACAACTGCTAATTCAGTGTAGGTTTTCACTTTTGACTACGGAAAAAATCACGAATTTTCAACTTCGAAACACACCCTTGCGAATCCTTTCCACAGCCGGGATGGTTCATTCGCATATGCATCGTCACGGGGACCTTGAAACTGCAGTCACATAGCTCGCACCCTCCGCCAGATGACTAAACGATGCTTGAAATATTCAGTCTAGAAAGAGTATCAGATGATCCAATTATTTGGTCACTCAAGAAACGTTTATTGTGAACGTGAGAACTGATAAAAGATATTCGAGCAAGCTAGTTGAACTAATTTCCTTCAACTCTTCTCTCATCCTTTTGAGAGAATATCGCGCCACAATGATGATATTTAGTCACAAAATGATCAATTCGCTTGTTTATTTTAATGCCTCTTCAACTTCATGGGCCCGTATTCTTTCCTGCCCCCAAGAGAACGTGTCCCACGCCGCTGATTCCAACCGAAAGCGCTGCATCGATTTGAACAAGTGGTAAACAGGCGATAGTTGGTCGGTGACTACGCTGGGATGAAAGAATCTCCCGAAGCGGCAAAAGCGTGTCCCTAAGAGATTCTTGAAATTCGGCTCGGCAGCGAACCATCCGCTAGAGGAGGCAACGTGAAGCAGCAATTTTCCCTCTTTTGGATTTTCCCATAGCATGTAATAATTGTGGAACAGCCAATTGAAAGCATTGCCTTTTTCGTGGGCTCCACAAGCGGTAAAAGATAACAGGAGCAGGGAAGAGAGTGTTGTCGTGGGTAAGGCCAAAAGGAATTAAAACATTTATTTACTGAAAGTATTTATTTAAAGGACGAATTTTACGATGGAAAAAACCCATTCCAAATTGAGGTAGAGATGGTGAGTAGTACCAGAAAGAAAGCAAACCACGAAAAACGGCCAGAACCGGCGAGAAATGGGACCCTTCCGTGTCCGTTTGATTTGAGCATTGATGGGACTGTTCATCGCTTTGCCCTCCTTCAACCTACGCCTCTCTCAGCTATCCGCAATCACTCCCACTATGGTACTAGGCGAAGTGATCAGACGATCGGTGGGGGGAGGAGTTCGCCCGAACTCGTCAACTTTAGCCATGCTAGATCTCAGAGGATCAAATCTTGTCATGCGATGGTGCGTGTCTGTGGCGACCTCGAAGAGAATCACGGCTCATCCCCACTTGCGATGTTCTCTCTTCGACCTTCGTTCTTCCGTGCAATCCCCGTTAAAAGTAATCATGCGTTTTTGAGACTTGCCGGGAGATGAGGGAATGCAGCGAAGACGGCACCAATTCGAGGGAAAAGTAGAACAGTCCAAAATTGATTGACTGAAAGCGTACGATGTGAAGTGTAAAACAGAAGGCGAAGGTCGGCCTCCTCATGTGAGAGGGAGTGCACAGTACAGGTGTATGTCTTTTGCGACTGGTTGTTATTTTCTCTGGACTCTTTTACATGGCTTCCAGATCTCTACTTAGCACAAACAATGTTTGAAAAAAATTAAATAGGTAATACCGGCTCGTTGTTCTTGCGACACCTTCCAAATGCGTTACCTCCAGCAGGCGGTTACAATGAAGAGCTGGTCTACACTGGCTCGCACAGACCTGCACAAAAACTTCATCCAGCGAGACGTACGATGCGCTTGAAGAGCGGCCCGGAGGCAGCGACCTCGGGAAACATTCGGGTGAGTCCATTAGCGATGACGAGAGATAGTTGGTGCACAGCCACTTGGATATATCGGAGACTGTGCGGGAGAACTGCACTCAATTCTGCAAGATGTTTGAGGGAAATACTAGAGTAGGCAGCAGCGGCCATAGCGTTCCTTTCACCAAATGTCATGCCACAAAGAATGGCTGCAAACACGGCCGACAACATCGACGGACAGATGGCCGCGCGCTGGACGCCAATTGTAATGGTGCTGAAACCATTCTTCAGATTAGAAAGTGATCAGTAAACTCAAGAGATCAGATCTCGACTAAAATAATTCACTAGGTGCCGGCGCAATTGTATGTCATATTACTCTCTAACATGTAATCCCTTAATTGAGAACCATAACTAAGAGAAAGAACAACTTTTATAACTACCTTGATTTGTGCGCTGCGGTGGGGAGATCGCTCTTCCGTTCCGGCATTGGCGTTGCATGCGATAGCAGATGGTGACTGAATGGCGCTTCGACCAATGGAATTCTGGAAACATTGTTGCTCATTGTCCAACATTTCTTGGCAAGTTTCTGGCAGATGCGATCAGGCACATCTGGAGCGAAGCCCAGTCTGCAAAAATCCGGCGCAAATCTGATCGGCCAGCTTATATACAACAGGCGCGACTTCTGTGTTTAGAAGCCGATGCTCAGGTAACGTCGAGACTCAATGTATATCTAAGTTCTCAGAGAAATCCGCCACGAAATCGGTCTAAAACTATCAGAGATGTTTGCGCTATCAAGAGAATTATAGACGCCTGTGGCTTTCGACAAGGCGTTCTGTGCTGCCCAACCTATATATCTATCAGGAGGTACCTCCATCACTACATGCAAACTAGCTGGGCTCACTTAATCGCCTATATTCGACAAGATAACTTATACCTATCGAAAACCTCGCCGGTGAATCGCATCTCATAATCGTATGAAACGCTAACTCTAAAACAGCGCACTGAAACACATTTGACAGGCAGCACGCGTTTTGCCTTTCCAACCTCGTGGACATGAACAGTTTGGTCGCCGCAACTTTCAGAGACGCCCAACCGCGCCCTGTGTCAGCAAGTGCAATTTCCGAGATCAACCCTGAAAACACAGTGAAGCAGGAGTACATTAGGAGCCGGGACATAGGTCGGTTCGGTGACTTACTGTTGCCCCTCTGTATGGATTGTTGATATATTCACGCAAAATAAGGGGAATGTATGAGCAGCTAAGTCAAGTGGAGAGTTAGAGAAAGTCACAAAAAATGCGACGAAAACTGGAACATGCGCGTTTACATATCATTCTCAGAGGACGTTTTCAAGATGCACATGTCACCGACTTGAGCCTTCCTCTCTCAAAACAAGCAGGTTTAGCAGCTGTGTTCTAGCATATATAACCATTTCGTGGACGGCGGCGTATATATTAGTTACACTTTCTGTAGAGAAATCAAACAACTTGGGACAGAACCGTGCAAATGCATAGAAAAAGGGTGAGTTTCGCGACGCAGCGAGGTCGAGGCTCAATTTCGTTATGGTCAAAATTGAATGACTGTGGTGGGCCGAGAACTCATTTGGAGATGTCATTGATGGAAGATTGTTAAGAGCTAGCCCCACTACACCCTCTAGCGAAAGAGAGATGTCGGATCGCCGGACCCCTTCCATCTATATATTCCCAGACTCTTTAATCTTCCAGATGTTGCAATCACTGACTCCAAACAAAATGGGACATGTAGCGCAGTTGCATATCATGTCACACAAAACACATCTCTTTTTTGTTAGTGGAAGAGAGCACTGCCGTCAACCACCATCGATGCACGAGTAATTAATCATGGCTAGACTTATCTACATTGTCCTGCTAATTACGATGTTCTACCTTTCTTGGTAAAAACTGAAAAAAATTTCGACAGTGCAGCTTCACAAACATTCACAACTCAGAACCATGAGTAATGATTGAACCATTTTATACATATTTATGACATAGCAATCCATGCGTACCTCTGCTAAGATGAACTGATTGGTGTTAGCAACTCGAACCCAAACTCCATGCTGGTTTGACACCCATCCACTTCCTTCCAATTCAGTGCGTCCTTCAATGCAAGCGCCTTCGACGAGTGCATCAGGAGATGGCCGGCTGTACAGCTGGATACGCTGTGATGCATCGAGCACGTAAGTCTGAACAGTAAAGACGTTACAGGCTGAATAAATGCTGCCAGTTGAACAGCCATATGAGGCCGACGTCAGACTTTGCGAGTCGAGCGATTCGCTAGCATCCGCAGTCTCAATGTGGTACCACCCAGTCAAGGGATTCGCTGGTCGCGAAGCGACCGTGGTCGTAGCGAATACCTCGACTCGCAGTCTGACATAACAGAGAGGGTAGCCTGAATGCACGACAGACCACGCATGAAATGAAGATCTTATTCTCGTACCGTTAATAGGTTAATTTGGTTAGGAACAGTACCTATGAGAGGCTCCTTCAAATGTTTCTGCTTTGCATTAGTGTTTGAAACATTCTTTGACACACTGCTTACCACGTGCGGCACCATGTGGCGCAGATTTCACACGTGAGAACATTTTTTTATTTGATTTACTTGGCATTTTGCAATGTTCCCAAACTATTTGTATTGATTCCCAGAGCCGCAAAACATAAAGTGTCGCCATTGATAAAACTTTTGATATGTTGATGGCAATCCAATTCGAAAAGAATATAAGAAAGTAAGGTGATACCCGCACAACGACGTTACGCAATGTGTTAAGACCAGTTGGCCACACCTTGCGAAATCAGCATCAGCACAACATGGTGAACAGCTTCTACATTACACTTATGAATTTTCGGAAAGGTACTTCTCAGGACATCAGCTCTCGATGCAGAACGAATAAATTCTTATGTTTTCTGCCCTGTTCTGACAGAAAAGCAACCTCACCCTTACGACAACTTGAACTTACTTCATTTGCATCAATGATGACACTCTGCTGAGTGGATGAGGCGTGCAAAGCTGGTGGATCTTCTTGACGTCTCACCGGCAATCGGTCAACCATATCGCTAGCAATCGGTATCAATTCGCGGCGCAAGTGCTGGTGATACGCAAGACACCACACCTGTAATAACCTACATGTTGGCACATAATTAGCCACCAGTTGTCCGATCTTATTAGGTATACAACGACATCGGCGGATAGGACCAGAGAGTTCGACCTCTCAAAATGGTCAGGTACCAACCACCTGACCCCAAAGGCTTGAATAGCCTACGCGTTCTATCTGGGATTTGAGGCCTGAAAGAGCGCGCAAGGCAGGCGGCCCCTACTGCCAGTGTACGACCATGGCTTAACATCCCCGTCCACGGGAAAATCCTGACAAGATGTGGCAGTTTTTGAACTATTAGGTTGGTAACTTTGAAATGTTGCTTTCTTTGTGTCCTTGTTTCTCGGGTGCGTGACGATTCAATATACGCAATATAAGCCTGGGTATTATAACACCGTTCCACGCGACCACCCGGAGGCAGCCGTCCAGAATCCCTGCAGCACCCGCTTCGCAGTGCAAACGTCCCGCTTGCGCGACCAGGCGGACGCTGTACGCGTCCTTGCCGCCTCGCATGGAAGTGCGGCCTTACCTGAGGCTGCACTTCGGTGCAATGTGGCAAGGGGGACCAGCCGCCGCGCGCGGTGTTGCGGGAACAGGAAATTCGTGAGCCAGGGGGAATGTAGCCAATTCAGGGGTGTGGGGGGTGAGGGCAGTCACTTAACATGCGTGAGAAGCTGGTCGATTTACACCACATCGCAGAGCCGCGCGCGGCGACTGCCCCCCCCCCACCGAGCTTCATTGCACTCGCACTTCTCTGCGGCAGAACCGATGCCTTGCCCTACTCCGCTTGCTACAGCGATGGCGCTCCGTGCGGCTGACGACCACAGTCTCGTCGTGGCTCTCGTCGTGGAGGGCGCAGAGAAAACGACGAAAACAAATCGATAACATGTGGCGGTGCGGGCCTCACCGTGAACGCGCTTACGGTGGAAGCTAGGAAACCATCCTAAGAAATCGTTTCTGTAAGCCAGTTAGGCCATCCTACTCTTGAAGCCCAATAATGGCTTCTTGTTGGGACATCATCCGTAATTCACCAGGTCGCGGCTAATGATGGGCTGTGCTTGGACTTTCATATGATTAGAAAACATCGTCTCTTAGTCGGGCATATCGGGGGTTCGGGGCGTGCCAACCTCCCTTCGAAGTATTTAAGGAGAGCCCAGTGTTTTTTTTTTGTGAGGACACTTTTTTGTGAATGATCATTCTTATCATGCTTACTCAACTCCAATAACGCTAGAAACATTCGATCGTATTGCTTCCGTAGAGAGTGAACTACTAAGGAATGATTTCATTTCCGTCCGGATTGTGGGGTTTAAAAAAGGACCTCCCATGGGAAAACTGTTTCCTTCGCGTGTATATTCATTTTAAAATTACACACTACTCAATGGTTGAACTAACATAACAAAAACAGGTGAATATTGAAGAGTAGGAATCATAAGGGAAACAAAAAGTTTCCAAACTTTTGACGCGCCATTACTTGAAAAAATCTTACTTCTCAAAAATGATTATGATTTCTGTAAATCGTTCTTCCCTTCGCATTCTGGGCTTGATTTTGTATGTAATGTCTAAATTTGAGACAATTTCGTTCTGTGTCGGCTGCGCTAGATCAAAAATTAAGAAGGTTCCAAACTTTTGACCGCTACTGTATATTCAAGCAAGGAAAAGCGGCCAACGAATCCCACTCATTGCGTGCAAAACATTGAGCAGCAACACTTTGTCTCCGATGCACCTCTAGCTGTGGTTTCAGCTCTTCCAAGCTGAGGTAAAGACTTGAGGGCGAAGAGCATGGATGTTGTTTTGTACCTGTAGAAATGAAGGGCAAAAGAAAGCCGACGAATTTAACCCTCACCAAACTACACAGAAACCCTTAGGGAGATTTGACTGCTGCGTCAGCAATAAAATTGGAGATTTTCTATTGCGAGTGGTAAGGCCTTTCAGGAAACAAAATGGGTTCGGCCTATTCTGAACGACGCGAGTAAGCACTATTGGTTGCCAACACTGGAACTCTGTTCCTTAACTTAAAGAAGAAGAAGGCTCTTGATTTCGTTGTAAGCGCACTTCACAATAGGACATTTCCCGATAACAAAGCTACAATACGGCCTTGGTTGGGAGCAAATGGACAGCTTAGGGTGACTCCGAAACCGGACGTCCACGGAGACAAAGTGCTGCTCTTGCATGGTGAAACAGTATAGGACTGGCGTACTATGGAGACCTGATTGTGGGTCAGGCGGTCACAGCTGAACCCTACGCACAACAGCCCGCCTGCGTCGTCAAGGGGCAAATTCGGCCATTATAAACTATGGCATGATAACGCAGGGCCACCAGTCGCGAAATACAAGCAGCGAAAAATAAGGGATTCAGGCTAGAACATTCTATCTTTCGCGCTATATAGTACAGATATGGTGCCGTCCAACTATCACTGAACCAGGTCAATGCCGCACTCCACAGCAGCAAATAAATTCAATAACCGCGATGACGTCAAAACTTGAAAAACTGAGTGAAAGAGTTCTACGAGGCAGGACTCCATGCTTTGCGTAACAAAAGGTGAAGAACGAGTGACAAACATGGAGAAAATGATTTAGGTTGATGTGCTTTGATGTATGGAGGTATGGAGGGCGCTGGAAGACCAAGGCGTCGAAAAGGTGTACGTGGATGTGCTGCGTGAATGCTACACGGAATGTTCAACAGTGTTTCGCCCTTTCTACGATGACGTTGTTGTTGCAGTTGAGAAAGGCGTGCGACAAGGTGACCCAATATCACCTAACCTCTTCGCTGCCTGTCTGGAATCCGTGATACGCCGCTGCAACTGGAGCAGCCAAGGAATCAACGTCGATGGCATGCGTTTGAATCACCTCCGATTTGCCGATGACATCGTCTTGATTACGGAGCCAGAGCATGCATCTGAGATGCTAAATCTTCTGGACGAGGAAGGAAGTCATTGCGGTCTCCTTATCAATACCTCCAAAACGAAGGTCATGCGGAATGCATTCTCAGCTAGCGCCCCTGTACTCTTAAAAGGAAGTCCAATCGAAGACGTAGAGGAGTACATATACCTTGGGAGCCAGCCGAACATGAAGAACGATCTTTCCGGAGAGCTAGCGAGACGTCGTAAGGCTGGATGGGCCGCCTTTAACTCAATAAGAAGTGTTGCAGAGGATACCAAGGATCGGAAGCTCCGGGCCGACCTGTTCAATTCGTCAGTGCTACCTGACCTCAGCTACGCTGGAGAAACCTGGGCCTTAACAAAATCGCTAGAAAAGAGGCTTCAATCCGCTCAGGCATAAATTGAACGTCGTCTGATAGGCCTCAACGCTGAGCCGTCAACGAGAACTGAGCCTGCACAATTCTGACGTCAGAGCTATGTCGAAGATTAAGGAAGTTTTGGTTCACGTCAATGAAGCGAAGCACCGATTTGCTGAGCATTTGATCAGAAGAAACGATGGACGTTGGAGCTCGAAGACTGCTCAATGGTATCCGCGCGAGAAGAAACGGCCACTTGGCCGCCCTCCTTTACGTTGGGCAGACTCTTTGGCATACAGAAACAACGTGATCCTGTGTCCTCAAGGTGGCCGTTAACATGGAAACGAAAGCCCAAGACCGCGAGCAATGGAAAAGAAGTTGGGACTCGCGCAAGGCCAACCGCCGTGCTGATCAACGGGTCGTCTAAGTATCTAAGTAAGTAAGTGCTTTGATGTAGCCTTTGTACATAGAATGATCGTTGATCAAAAACGACATTTTGAAATATTGTACCTGTCCAGAAACGTTGCCATGACCATAGAGAACGGCCGTCTCGTCGGTTAATCGCAGCCATTTTCCGTCCTCATTCTCAATTTTTTCAATGTATGCGATATTACCACCCCTAAACAAGAAATACGTGAGAGAAACAAGATTTCGGTGAACCGTCAAAAATCCTTCCTCATTTTACATACCATACTCATCATTACAGTAATCGCATAAAAAAGTCGAAATCCGAGAAAAAAAAGCACCAACACCGCTGACTCGCAGTTCTTTGCTGGTTCCCTCCTTTGTTTTCAAAAGTTGGTTCGGAATCGAGTATAGTAATAAAAGCCAAATTGAGCTAACAGGAAAACAAGGGAAGGGAGTAGGTCGAAGTGGCTGTTCGAAATGAAATGTATACCTTCTGATACGTCTCCAGACGCTGATTCCAAATCTTCCTTCCAAATCTGCTGAACGACTCTCCGAACGGAGTCATGAAGCGTAGTAGCTCAGTGGTAATGGTCGGGGGTGGTAGGTAAAAGCTTGTAGGATCGGATTTTTTTTGCAAATTGGTTGGTTTGCTTTTGTCTCTAGAAGTGCTGCGGACAAAAGCAAAGCAACAAACTTGTAAAGGAACCGATCCTACGAGCTTTTACCTGCCATCACGTACCATCACCACTAAGCTATTACGCTTCATAATTCCGTTCGGAGAGCCGTTTAGCAGATTGGGAAGGCAGGATTGGAATCAGGTCTAGAGGCGCATCAGGTGGTATGCATCTTATTTTATACGGCCACTTCGACCTACCATCCTTTCCATGTAAGCCCGACGGAAGGATTCCTTGAACTTTCGGAAAAGTCTCGTTCCGTAATGCGCCATGCACTCGAGTTCTATCTCGTGAGCCAATTGAACGTATTCTACCGCTTGTGAAAGCTAAACAGCCAGTGATAAGAAAGTGTTCAGCATTCGCTCGAGAATGCGAAATGAATGCGTGCGCCACTTTATCTACTATATTGTACAATTAGATCAACAAGTTGTTGTCAAGTTCCACTTTTGTGCGAGCGCTCAACATACACTGCCCGGCATAATGTTCTCCCGCCCACAAAATTCCCAAAAACCTGCATCTAAGGACGCTTGCGAAAAGTGCTCCGTAGTAGAAACGTGATGTGTTAGACGCAATTTGAACACCGAGAGGAAGATTCAATTTACGTATAATTCTCTCGAGGATTTCGCAAGATAAGATACAGTAAAAAAAAACCCTGCTCGCTATCCTCCTTCCTAAGCACTCTTCATCCAATTTTCCGTCTGTATACGACATCCTGGTTCTCTTTTTCTATATTCACCTTGGAATCGTGCCAACACATGGTGCTGTCAGTGAAGTGCCCAGTCGCATTCTTATTGCTTGGAACGGTAATGTGGCTGGAACAGTAGCCTTCCTTGCTCTGAAATGGGTTTATAATCCCTTTAATCTGAGCGCACAGAAATAATGACATCAACTACAACTTCCACTTTTAGAAAACGAATAGCTAGCAAAGCGGTTTCAACAAATGATGCGCGGAGGCATCTTGGTTTCAGTAACTGACTGTCGAAGTATCGCGCGTCACCATGTAACGCGCGCGATCACTCAGGACATTTGGCACGGGCCACATGGTAGCCACGTCGTTTTTGTGGAAAAAAAAACGCTGATTTTTTCGAGATCCTTACCTGCTCAGTTGTGCAGCGCGATGTTCTCGACGTTTCACATTCTCCTCGCGCTCAGATACCTGCAACATTTTGTTCATAACATGTAGCAATATTGCCACAACTTATTTAAAAATAAACAATTATTCAAATTGGTAGGATAGACGGTTTTGAGCACTACTGGTCAAACTTTTATTGCAGTAGGTGGACGTGTAGCTCTTTTTCGTGCTCAGCTTTTTATCGAAGACGACTGCAAAAGCACAGTGGTTGGATCGATCAGTGGTGGATGAAGTACTACCAAACTCAGGGGAATGTTTTGGTCCATATATGGAATCATTTTTGCAAATCAGCCGCTAGGAGCTTCTTTCCTGCTTCGGCCTTGTGACATGTCACTTCGCCTGTAATCAGAAATGAGTTAGGGAGCTGCAACTATAAGGTCCAAACTTAAAAAGTATGTCCGCTCCACAACAACAACAGTGCTTTTCCAAAAGTGACGCGATCTAAATCTCCGAGCTCAGCTGAGAAGTTCTACAAAAGTCACCATGTAGCGGTGACCAGCCTCCTCCCTACTGTCACCTATCTTTGTTGCTAAGCAGTTAGCTTGCGGACGAAAAATACAATTGAAGAATTAACCCCAGCTCCTCTTTGCATTTTTTCAGCTCGAAACAGACGACCATCTAAGAAAGCGGCATCCGCTTCGGTGAACCACAGACAAACAATCCAATGATTAGTAAGGGAATTTATTGACAATGAATAGTTTTTTATTTTGTTTTGAGAAAAATAACTCAAAAATATTAGTAAGTGGTACAAACTTTTGGGGCACCCTAACATGTATGCGCCCGAGCCCCTATATCACTTGTACTGTACAGAATACCACGAAAGGTCTTACCTCTATGAGATAATTGTGCGTTAGCTCACAGCCATCTACTCGGCATGCAACTCGATAGCTTCCAGCTACCGAAGGCGTCCATTCGCCTTCAAAACTGGAATAGAAACAAGACTAGGTTTCAGAGGGGAGCGAAGAGAGGGCAAAATTGAAACTGGAGCACGATAAAGGCGAAAAATGTAAGAAACTCACGTGCAGTTATTCTTGTGCTTCAGGTTAATCTTTTCCCGCACCACAGTCGCTTTTGTGAAGCCTAGTCGAATTTCTTCATAGGAATAATTCGTGTAAGCCGGCATCGCTGATATCGACATATAGCGACATCGGTTCATTAGAACCGGTTGGAAAGGGTTCTAAACAGTAGCATACCTACTCTGAAATTCTGTAAGAAAAGACAGGTCTTTCGAGTGACATCATCTAACCCTCAACGACGAATTTGACTCAGGGTTCGAGATGGGCGCTATAGGAACCAAAACCTCCTGCTCCCTTTGAACTCTCTATGCGCGTACGATTGAACCCGTAGCCCAATAGTCCCGTGGATACCACACCCGTATGACATAACCCATTCAACCTCTGACGTATCGCAGCGGACACGTAGACCCTCTTTAAAAACAAGGAGAGCGTCGGGTGCAGATCATACACCACAAGTGACGAAGGCCTCCTTAAGACGTAAACGCTTTCTGCCAATGGAATTATTAGCATGTTGCAGCTTTATCGTTTTCGTTTCTTTTGTGGTCCACAAGTGACGACGTCCTCCAAGTGAGTAAGGTCAGTAGTGGTTCATAGTGTAGCCGATTTTTGGTGAAGATAGTTGTAATTAGTGACAATGAATACAAAAAGAAAAGAAAACGATAAAGCTGCAACATGCTAATCATTCCATTGGCAGAAAACATTCACATGTTAAGGAGGCCGTCGTCACTTGTGGTGTATGATCTGCACCCGACGCTCTTCTCGTTTTTTTGAAAGAGAGTATGAAACTCCGCTTATTGCTGCTTTCATCTGCCATCGCTGCGTCAACACTGACTGACCAGAAAAAATAGCAACCAAATGAATTATCACAGGACAAATATGAACCTTGAAATTTCATATCACACTTCCCCTAAATTGCTAAGAGAAAACTATATAATTACATTACAGGCCGATCTTCTTCAAATAGATACGATATTTTAATGTATAAGAATTCAGAAATGCGGCCCACTTTCTTGATGACTTCTAGCGAAGGCAGAGCGGCAGAGGCAAATCGAGCTGAAGAGTAAATGGACGCGTCCCCAGCCGTCATCGACACTTCAACGCACATCGACGAGCACATCACCTCACGGTCAAATTGATCCTTTGTGGTGAGCCGCACCTGAAGGAATCTGTTAAGAGTCGAATACAGCGATCACGAGCGAGGTGAGATTTCGATGACGTCATTCACCACCCCCTAGCCATCGTGATCAGTGCCCTTAAAGGAAGTGATTACAATGAACAGGGAGGACATCGGGAAGCATAATGCACCACACGAATCAGTTACTTGGCGGGAATGAGAGCGCGCCGTGGGGCTCTCACGAACTTAGTTGCGCTGCTGTTTGAGCAAGACTTCAAAAGCACTCCCTCCCCAAAGCGATCCGCCCGCAGTATAGTCGAGTTGCCTTGCCAGCAGTGGCACAACTGGAGCAACTCGACTGGAGCGTGGTCGGCATACTGCCACCGCGCGTTGCGGTGAACACGTTCATACGTCCGCTTTCTGAGCTGTTACCTGTTCATGAGTGAAAAGCAACGGACAAAAAGGTAGGTCTCCTTTGCGCCATCTTGACGATTTCTCCTATTTTCTCACCGCTGACGTATAATAGGTTACCACCTCGTCTTCTCTCGACCCTTTTAGGCCCTATCGTAACCGTTGCCTTGATAGAAAGTCTTTCAACAGCATGCTGAGTGAAATACCTTAATCGGCTTTCCAACGACCATATCTGTCTGGACGATGGTTAGTTGACACCGTGCTGGATCGACAACTGGTCCCGAAGGAAGCCACCTCGCTAGAAATCCTGCCGTTGATGTCGCGCATGCCGATAGGAACTCGCGAAGAAATACCAGATCTGAATAAATTTTTAACCATTCTTCCTGATCGTTCTGCACTGAGAAGCTTGAGCTTGAGTCGGTTAGGCTTTGCATGTAGATTCCATTCTAGGCGCGAACCATACTCTGACATTTATACCAACATAAATAGTAACCGAAAGAACTGATCGAGCCCTTATCGAGCCCTTTCATCCTTTTTTTCTAGAGAAACTTCATCACAGATGTGAACGTTCCGAAGACTGAACTTTTAGTCATGCTAGGCTTAGACGATCATAAGAGTCCGTGAGCCACGCACGTTTTTTTGTTAGGTTGCCCCATGAGTAGTGTCGTTTTTTTTTGTTGACTTTTCTGTTGACCTCCCCAATTTTTACACCAACTCATACACCATTCAAAAGAAAATTGTCAGCTCTATAAAATGCCTTGTTCCACTTCCAAAATCTAACCAAAGGTTTTTTTCTATTTATTTTTCAACCTGCAAAATGGGGGACTCGGCCAACGAAAATTAGTCAAACCGACAACTGGCTCTAATTCATTTTTACGAAAAGTTAATCATTGCTGCGCCATCTACTTAGCCATGGCGTCCACTAAGTATTCCGCTAAAGGTTGTTGTTTTCCTTTTCTGTTTTCTTCTGTTCCTCTACAAATGTGGTTTTTTCGCTTAACCCATGAGCCATAGTGATTTCGAATAAATTCATGCCCTGAAACACTACTATTTCCTATCGAATGGTAGTTAGATCATTCGTAGGCACCTTTTCTGCTCTATTTGCTTACTTACTTTGTTTTATATTCGTAACCAAATAGACTGAATTTCAGGCCCGCATGATAAGATGTTCAGCCCAAGAAAATGACCACATTTCTTGGAAAGGATATTCCTCGAGAAGATAAGAAGATCAACCAGGCAGACACTCCCAACTCAGTAATGACTTGTTCTTAACATTCCACTAGTTTTTTAATGTCTCAGCCGTAAAAAATTTTGGGCATGACAGATGCCCCTTCACCGCCGAGTTCTGGTCGAAAAACGATATATGGAAAGGGAGCGAGACGCAACTCGTTGAGAAGCCTATTAGCAAAATGTGGGAGGGGTCGTGACTAAGTAGACGGTTCATCACTGATTGCTTTTTCTTAGGGGAAATAGAGTGAGGGGGTATTGTTGGTTAGGCTATTTTTCGTCGACTGGACCTGCCCCTTTGAGGCCTAAATTACAAAAACACCGCAACAAGTGAGGAAGCGAATTGCACGGTTCCATAGAGCAGACAATTTTCTTTCAAACGGTAAATAACAAGACATGAAACAATTGAACTTTAGCAGAGAATTCTTCGTTTGAAGAAAAACGACACCATTTGTGGGACAACCTAAATTTGAATTCCGACCCAATATGATGCTTCTTATGAAATACTCTGGGAATAAGCAAGATACCTGCAGACTGTGCCGACTGTGGCAATCCTTTTTGAATGACCTCGTTCAACGTCGGCGCATGAGTTAAGCTAAGGCCCTTCTTCAGCAGTGATCCATGTTTTTCCAGCAAGATTCTTGTGTCGTCCTCAGCAGTCGAAAGGTGGTCGAGTGCAGATGCGTCCGACGAGAGCTTAAATGGCTGATGCTATCTCAATATCATTCTGTAAAGATACGGTATTTTGGAACTCAAAATAGCAAACATTAATATATGAACATGTGGATTCTGCCCACATCTCCAGTCATCCTACATGGATCTCGTTTGAATACTGATAGGTTGATCAAGAACCCTCCCTATCTGGCGATTATTAGTAGTTAATAGAAATAGCTGATATAACATATAAAATTCGAGTAAGTTCATGAGAATTGCTCAGAGTTTTAGTCAAGGAACCATAAGCTTGAAGAAAAGCGCATACAAATTGGTCGTTATGTAAGTAGCTCCTGTTTTAGCTACTGGCTGAATCTGCTGCATTCAGACGGAAATTGAACATCTTGATGACAACGCGCATTAACGCTCGTTTGACGGCAACCGAAAGACAGTATTTTGCGAGCGCGGCCAAGAAATAGCAAAAAAAAACTAAAAAGAAATGGTGAGAAACACAGCATTATACATGTAACTATTTTGCAAAAACGCACTCACAGTAACATTTACTTACACTTTTTCATCTTCTCCGCAGCGTCAGTTCCGCGCAGTCACAGGGTCCGCTGTCTTTATCAGTTGCCGCTACTTAACGCGGCAACTATGTATGCCGCCATCTTTGCACCTCCATGGACATTGTGGCAACTATGTATGCCAAACCAGTTACATTTATTTTTTGCGATTACGCTCGATTTCTTCCTAAGTTTTTCATTTTCATTTTATAGGTCACACATCAACATAACCAAGAACCACGTGCCTTACATAATGACCAATTGTTCTTAAGTTTGGCAAAGGTTTTCCGGACTTGACGAAAATATCCGTTCGATTTAGTTTTCTTTTCATTACCGCTAACATGTTGATAAAAAGGAATGATAGAAGCCAATACAAATCTATTCGCGTGGAGAGACATGTGTTTTTACTGGGATAACCACGTCCGTATTAATTTTGGAACTATTAAAGGAAAAGTTAAGTAAAATAAAGTGAAAGTAAAATTAAGCAAAATTTGCCTTTTCATGACCTTAACACATCATTTCGGTAGAAATTCCATTACTGTAACTTCCAGTAAGTTAGACAGTTGAAACACTATTGAATTTACAACTCAAAATCCATGAATTTGGTAAGTGGCGGCGGCGCTCGCAAAATCGCTCTGGTCCCACGCGGTGCAAAAACCCAAAACGCGCGATGTCGTCAACGTGCTAAGGTTTTTCGCGATCACTGGCAGCACTTCGAAGTATGTCGGTTTCCTTAACGAATGCAGCTGTTGCCTCTTTAGCACGTACCCTTCCCATCGCAGCCATTCTACTCTCACCTTAGTTGGGTAGGGGCAGTCTCAACTTTACCATCTAAGTTAAGCTTGGTCGAAATGGTGCGGTGGTGTAACTAGCACAGTTGCTCAAAAAGCGAGAGATGAGGGCACGAATCCTGGCCGGGGCGAAAGTTTTGCCCACAACTCAGCATTCTTGTGATAGCTTCAAGACCGCTGAGAAAAACTCTGGTTAAAGGAACGAGTCAGGCTTGATGGGCCTAACCAATCTCTTTTGTCGTCTTTGTGCATGGCTGCGCACCCACAGAGACGTTACCATGCTCAGAATCCCAAACGGCGCCGTAATAAGGCCCTAGGGCACGTATTAAACGCTGTCGCCGCCTGGCGGCGCTCCGACCGCCCACCTCCGGACGTGGTGCGTGGCTGGCATAACGTGTGGAATCAGCTAGGTTGATTGCCGTATCAACCGATAGAACGACTGACATCTCCAGGAAACTTGTTCGTACGTGCCTCTTCCCCAAGACAGGCTCCTTCACTGCTAGTGGGGAAGAGGGTTTTGTTAACGGCCTTGTCGAAGGTTTTTCTCAGTTTTTTCTCCACTGTCGTTCTACTTCGCATCTCTATACTCAGTTTCAATCGCCATAATACCCCCTTATTGAGCCTGACTTTTGCCTTTAAGCATTACTAAGCGGACCTTTAGAGACACAGAAACGAGCCGCTGCAGCGCAAACATGAGAACACCATGAGATACTTCATGAAATACAGCTACAGTGCCGCCCCGTATGTACATACGTATCACCTCGGGTCCCGTGTGTAAGAGAGCGTAAGAGAGCTATGAAAGAGGAACCAGTACTACTTATACCTGAACTATAACTCGACAAGCACTTGCTGAAAGCCACGCAAGCTCCTGTTCGAGTCCAAGGTTGGAATCTTTTCTTGTTGCCGGATATCCAGTCACTGTGCAATGAAAACCGTACATCTAAAAGTAAAAACGATTAAAAACAGCCAAATTATTCTGAATCTACATTTATGACTTCACCTGTTCAGGAGTGACTCCTTCGACTTCTACAGTAGTCTCTAGCACAAACCACAATGAGTTTCCCGGTAGAAGAAGCGGTGTCGACGGCCAGTCCTTTGAACCAAAATACCTGAACGGGCGTTCTTCAACAGAAACTGATGAAACGTTGATAGAAAAGACTGATAGGGGACTTCAACCTTCGCCAACCAACCTCAACTGTTGTGCGTGCGTCACTTCATTTCTTTTCAAAAAATTTCATCATCAGTAATAAACTCTCCATTAATTTCATTGTTAGTAGTGACACATTGTTTTGCGGATCCGACTATATCACTCCCTTCCAAGAAGCAAAAAGAGCGCCGGGTGCAAACCACACACCACAAGTATGACGGCCTCCAAGTAAATCTTATTAGTAGCGGTTCAAAATGTTAGCTGATTTTTGATAAGCGATAATTGTAATCAGTGGCAACTGAGAGAGTACAACTGCAACAGGCTAACCATCTCGAAGGCAGAAAAAGATTTCCATTTTTTGGAGGACGACGTCACTTGTAGTGTATGGTCTGCACCCGACGCTCTTCGCATATTTTGAAGGAGTATATATGGGCAATTTTGAAACCTAGAAAAATTCCAAATAAACCACAAAAAAACGAGTAGCCTCTGTGTGGAAGTTTGGCTTGCCGGGGGTCGTCAAAGGGTCAAAGTGGTGCGTGATGCACAATGCGCGATTTATGGGAGATCGATTTCTGGGAAAGCGAGCATGAAACTGGCAATAAGGAAAAACGAGGGAAAGCAAAGACAAAAAGGAAAGAAAACAAGCTTCGCAAACGCAATGGGGAGGTTTGTAGCTGAGTTTTGTGGGTCACGAATGAAGAATTCCTGAGATGACATTCCATAAAATGTCCGAGTGTGGCATTTGGGCATCGCCCGGTATGCATCGGAGCAAGGCAGTTATGTCACGTGTGAGACATGCATCGAAATCGCTGTGGGCGTCAGGGTGCTAAAACTAGTCCCTAATCGTAAGTAACGAAAAATCTACAGATATGTTCGGGCAGGAATTTAATTTGGACCGAAGGACGCTATGTCTACTTACCGCATAGGACAACAAGCATTCCATTTGCATTACGCGAAAACACTGTACTATAAAATATTCTCTATTGTGAGAAAATATAGTATGTTGTTATTTGTCACCTTCCAACTGGCACGTAGCTCTCCTTATTTACTCCCATGTAGATCCGAAGCTGATCATCGGCCTGAGATGTTTCACACAATGGCGAGAACTGTATGCAGAGAAAATTCACTGTGTCATCGAAACTGACGACCTGCAAAAGTAAATGTCAAAAGCTGAAAATGCTATTTTTTCGGGACTTAGGCTTGTGTAGTATGGAAGCCATTAACAGTCTCTTGTCCTGAGTCTCTAGCGGAGCAGGAGCTTCCTACTTCTCGGTCTGCTTCCTCCCTCTGAACGCTCATCCTTTCCTTAGAAAATTTTTTGCATAAGGCTTAGACATTGAAGATCCCACGAAGATGGGCCGCTATAGACCTTGGAGGAAGACACATCACATGATGTTAATGAAGATACTCTATGAGCCGAGGATTGAGATTGAAAAAAGAGAGCGTTAGCTGTAAAGAGGGCACAGCAATGAGAGTCGCATCAATGCCGAAATCAATGGGCAAGAAAGGGGTCCCATTTCCCGAGTTTTGCGCCGTTATATGGTTCCTTCTTCGTCCTTACTTCACTGACCACTTCTACCATTACTTCCACTGAGCTACCATTTTATCGTAAAATCCGTTGACAATTCGGCATGATGCCACCAAACGCGTTGCGTTAAACTGCTCCACTCGTCCGCCGTCTTGGCCGCTGTCCGTCCATGAGCGGAAACCAATGGCTACACATAATAATCTCATTCTCTCGACGGATTTCTCTGCTTTTTCGCCATTAGCGTACCATTGTGCCCCTCCATGTTCCCATCCAAACTCTCCAGAGCCTATCGTGATCGCTGCCTTTAGCTATCAACTACATCCAGCTATAACATAATACTAGTAATCCGTTCAATAAAAATTGAGAGCAACTGAACAAAAATTGTTCTCGATACAATCTCCCTGGATACTGCCCAAACATTCACACTCAAAGAAAAAATCCAATATGGTTCCGCCGCTACTTGTACAGCACTGTCCCTATTTATGATGAAAAATCTTTCATGAACTTTCGGCCAGAAAAAAATGATGAACTCTCGCATCGAACTTCCGGAACCAACATGAAGTTCCGCTTAGTTCTGCTCGCCCGAAAGTCTACTGTCACAAGACAGATAACAAAGGCCACAGATTCACTGCTACCGTAATCCGCATTAGCATCGGTGCGCGCCGCAGCAGGCATTGGCGCGCCCTTTAAGCGAAGCAAGGATCAGCATGATGAGCCAAAAGATTGGGCAATTCACAAAGCGGTGGAATAAAGAGTAGACAGAAAAGAGCATAGTAGGCAGTTCTGAAAGAGGGATAAGGAAGAGCGGTTCATTCCCTTGCGGCACCCCGGCCCTACAGGCAAACCAGTCAAGGAAACTTGGAAAAGAGCACTCAGATTGTTATTTTCCGTAGTTCTCACAAGTTGATTGTTAACTGCGGTCTAGATCATCATCATTATTGTTAATGCACTCGACGTTGAAGCGTTGCGGAATCATTAACAAATTTATCCACTAGATTAGTTTGATCCGCCCAGTAACTGAAAAACGAAGCTGTTTTCGGTACTGTTCCACTGTTACTGCCCCTAAATCACAAAGTTTTATCCCTCGTCGAAAGTTTGCTTGTAGAGGTAATTCGATGCCCTGATGACGAATACGATATTCATTTTGACGCTGGCGTCATTTTGGCGCTACATGCTCACCATGTCACGACGGCTGTTTTCACGAAATTCGGTATGAACTTGTATGGAGGGGTTATTTGGCGCCCTGGCGAATATGATATTTATTTTTTCCACGTTGGCGCCATTTGGTGCCTATTTTCTGCTCGTTGCGCACTCTCACTGGTATGATCGCGATCAGGACTAAGAAGCCGTTCACAGTCTGGGCCATACCCGAAAAACGCTCGAGCATACCTCGCATACATATTACAGCATTACTGCTTTCCTTCCTTCCTTTATAAGGCACAGTCCTCTCACATGTTGTTGACCATTGTCTCTTGACTGAGCTACTGATGCTTGCGTCACTTAAATGGCGCGCCAATGCTAACGCGGATCACGGTGACAGTGAACCCGCGGCCCTTGTTATCTGTCTTGTGCTACTGTCTCTGTACCATTTGATTGAACAGGGGAAGAAAATCGATAGTAAATCAAGAATCCGCTTACCACTGAGTGCACGTTGTTGGTCTTATACGGATGTGGACTTTCGACGGTGACTTGGGTGGTTTTCACCTCGCAGACGTCAGAATTCTGGTCAGAAGACTCACTGAGAGTACTGGCCTTTATAGTGCCATTCACACTTGATACCATCGGTATCAGCTGCTCGAGAACACAAGATATCTGCAACACGAATTTCTTGGTCTAAGTTTCAGAACACACCAACACATATTTTGTGAAGAGTAAGCATAAATAAATAGACAAGTAAATAAATGCTAATATATGTGAAGCCAAGGCGACCATTTAGGCATCAGTTTTTAGGTCTTTTTGTGATGTGGCTGTAATATTTTTTTAAAATTCGAGACCCACCTCCATTGCCTTGTTAGGGTAAAGCTCCATGAAGACCATCACGTGTCCAGATATTCGAGAGATCAATGATCTTAAAATTAGCATTTTCTCACATACACATTAACAGTGTTTGAAAATTGCCAATTTCTTTCATTTGAAAAGGTTTTCAGTCGAGAGATGGCCATGACTAGAGGAGTAGGGCCACCCTCAGCGGGCCCTATTGCTCTGCCAGAAAGAGCACTCAGCGCCAGTCCCCCCATGTCGCTCGACGCGCTTTTCCGAAATGAACTACGGCCGTTAAACGGGTAAAAGCGTAAGCTGTACACTCGTGTCTCATCCAAAAATTGACATGTTGAAGGAAGAGAATAAAATGCTAGCAGTGCAAATCAAAGAACTGAACCAACTTACTTGGCACATTGAGGGATATGACCGTTCACAAGGAATGCTCCAATTTTGTTCGACAAAAGTCGCAGAAGCATCACGTATGACTTGTGCACCTAAATGTACATCTAAAACATTTAAGAAACCGTATAGAAACGTGTGAAGGTCAAACAATACAGGCGCTGTCGCAATATACGGGGGCAACCCCCAGGACTAATACTAGGAAGGGGCAGGAGCTCCGGGTAAAAAGAAAGTGGCGGACGCATCTTGGAGTCTTTCTACCCGCAAAATTGCATAAGCAAACAAAAAATATCCATGAGATTCAGTCCCGTTAGCAATAAAAAAGACACATCTTACGCGGTTTCAAATGCACTACCATCACTGCGATCCCGTATATTGCGATAGCGCCACAATTTCTTTTGAAGGAAGACAAATCAGCTATGAAAATGTCAAGGCAATCAAAACTAGAGATTTTTCGGAAATTTTCTAAATTTTGATTATGATCATGATTTATTATCAGAATCGAAAACAAGTAACACAATAAAAAATATTAGGAGCAAAGTATCGATAAACAAGTAAACTCTAACCTACTGGAGGTACAAAGAATAGGACTGCGCGGAGTGAGAGTGGAAGCGGCGCAGAAGGAGCGGCCGCCAACACTGCAGGCTCATGAGGCGTACAGAGCTCCGTATACCAACTTAGTAGGTCCGCCAACCTTGCCGGAACCCAACTCCCAGAGCCGCAGAGATTCTCAGATGACAGCTAGTCAACACAACAGAATCAAGGTTGGCCAAAAAAGGAACATGAAACTTCGCATCACACAACTCCATAAATTTGGAAAACCAATGAGACAATCGCTTCCAGGTTTTGCAAGCAAAGCTCGTTTTTTCTGTTCTCAGAACCAACCCTGCGATAACACAATCTTCTTAATCTTTTTATTTTCTCTGAACGAGCTAAGAGAGCTCAAGTTAACCACAGAAGGAGACAAACCATTCCTAGAGCAACAATTCTTTGTGTGAACGAACTAAGAAATTCGGAGATATTCGTTTTTTCCCTAAGAGCCTATAGTTATGACCTCTCGTACGGCCAACTGTCTCGATTTGAAAAGGTCGTCGAAATTCCAGTCTACAAGCCTAGCGGAAATGTCGTAAACAAATTCGCAATCGATGAGTTTCCTTCTCATTTCTAAGTTCTCACAAATGTCTTAGTGTGTCTCTATATGACGTATGTAGAATACGTTGACTCGCTTAGAGATTCGCTAAGTGAATTTGGTCTGAACCCCCTCAATGAGTTCAACTACATTACATGTTGAGGCGCTCCAGATTATAGGACAGTACTCTAAAACAGGCCGGACATAGGTAACAAAAAGCTGAAATATTTCGTGAAACCTTGCGCACCCATTCCACACTTGACGCGGTCCCTCCAGGCAGATCCCGAGGAGCTAGGGAATTTCGTGACAGACATACAGAATGACAGACAGACGACAGACGAAGCGCTTATAGCAAGTGGATGTTAGAAGTTTTTATTTATCTTTTTTTTGTCTACTGACTTATCAGTTGGTTACAGGATTTTAAGGAATTACACGATGTCTTAATTACATTTCGAGGTTGCGTTTACATTTTCTCCGCTCGAAATTGGTAATAAATGAGCGGCAAAGTATCGGTGTAAAATATCCACCTTCTTCAATGGTGCGCTGGAGGGTGAAATGCGCTACAAATATTCAGCAATTCTGAGTAATCGTTCCTGCCATTCAATAAATATATTAACCCTTTCCGGACCGCCTGACACACATGGGGTGTCAGGAACTTCAAGAGCTGATTTTTCCATGGGTTTGGTTTTCCGATAAAATGTCTTACGTTGTTACATATCTATGTAACAGACTCATGTCATATGTATGAAAAAACCCAGACTTTAGGCCTAATCTAGCTCCTAAAATAACCAAAAAGTAAATGGACTTTTACTTTGGGCTCAAAGAAAACAGTTGTAATTCGCTTGAAAACAATTCATACCGAAGAATTTATGAAATATCGTGCTCGTCGTATCTGATTCTTTTGGATCCAATCGTTTTGGGCACTTCTACTCCCTTTTTCTCCATACCAACTTATTTTGAACAATTTTCGTCCCTTCCTTCCTTTTTATGCCCTTTCATTCTTTACAAAACAGTTTCTGTCAGATTAACCTTTTTATATATTTACTTCTAGACATAGACAAAAACATAAGAGACAAAATAATGGCCTTAGTGGGAATACAGATTAAGTATATGATATTTATGCTTGCTGCGCAGCATGCGGAGCAAGCATAAATATGCTAATGCAAGCAAGCATAAATGCAAGCATAAATATGCCGTGAGCGCAAAAACTGCGCGGTCCGGAAAGGGTTAAAGCGGGTGCTGATTAACACGTTGACGACAGGTTGACGCGCATGCGCGCCAAAATTTTGCGCAGCACCGGACATTCTGACACGCATGCGCGTCAGAACTGTGTCACTCACTTTCATTGTGTTTGCGCTCCTTCTTCTCGGGTTTCTTGTATTCTACAGATACATCAATACATCAGCATAACTATAAACCACATGGCCGCCAGAGTGGTCAAATATACGTTGATTTAGCAAAGATTTTCTGAACGCACAAAACTTTCATTTCCATTCTTTCCCAGTATTCCTTTTACTGTCGTTAACATCCATATGTAAGACTGTAGAAGTGGGTAATACAAAACTCTGTGACTTTCAAGATATTTGTATCTGATGGAAGAACATGTGTAAATGCTTTTGACTTCATTCGTAGCGGAAGTGATGTTTTTACGTCTTCGTGGTCATTATGCGCCCTTCTAAACAAATCCTACTGTTGTTGATATAATTGACCTTTATGCTTTCATCCCTGCCGGAATAATACTATGAGAGTCAAGTTGTTGTGCATTTTTCAAAAAGTACACAGAAGTAAGGTGAGGACGGTGCGCTCGCGAAATCGCTCCATTCCCACGCGGTACAACATGACAAAACACAAGACGTCGACAACGTGTTAATGGATCTAACTTGTTTGCTATCGCTATTTTTCACCAGAAGTTGTTTGAAGCAGTTTAGGATCTTTCACTATCGCTGGTGTGCAATCATTTGTTGAAGGACGAATTCACGCTGGAAAGGCAACCCATTTCAAATTAAGTTAGCGATGGTGAGCGGTACAATAAAGAAGGAAAAACCATGCGAAACGGCCCACAACCTGAGAAATGGGACCACTTCCTTGCCCGTTGATTTTAGCATTGATGCGGCCATCATCGCTGTGCCCTCTTCAACGCTACGCTCTCTCACCTATCTAATCACTCACCACGTATGGACCTGCGGCGAGTGATCACATGATCGGTGGGCGTGCACTGACCAGCCGCGGCGGGATTAAACCTTAAAGCAACAATCCAGGAACGATTCGCGGGTAAGGATCACCCATAATGACGTTGCAGGTGAGAAGTTGGTCAATGGAGAAAGAAAAAGTAGAAAAAAACGTCGGGCAGGGGCTTAGACAGGGACTCCCCCTGCCGTTTAGGGAGACGTGTGTTGGACGAGTTGTCCGAACCTGCCCGTAGTACATGCGCTCCAATTGCAACGCTGGCAAATAGCCATGCATGCTTGCAAATACATAACTATTTGCCAGCAATCGAAATTGAAGCGCTTCAATTGCGTTCTTATGGAATCGACCTCATACAGCGCGGCGGTCCCGCAACGACCGCTAGTCAAGCACGGACTCTGCACAGCGTATGTTGAGCGATCCGCCTCGGTATGGGTGATCCGCCCCCTCCAAGAGGACTTCGACCCCTTCCAGCGCATTTTAGAGGTAGGTTTTGAACTTAAAGACATTTCCTATAAACTTTAGTTGGGCTGGGGCATGTTTTGACCGCCTAATGACCAAGTAGTTGAAACCCTGCTGGTTGCGTTGGTTGCTTTAATAGGTCAACGAGGTCAACTCCTCCTGTGCAAATTGTGCTTCAGTTCGCACACTTAGGAGCTCCGCGGGTCCCTCACCAGGTGAATTCTTCCTAATTCGATTTTCACTCTGATCGTGAATTAGTCCTTTAACTAGTTGGAACGTTCACGGAAGCAAATGATCAAATTATATAAGACAGTTTCCATAAAATTGTGACGTAACCCGATAATAAGAGCAATTAAGGAACAAAGTATCCTTAAAAAGAATTTCGAAAGATGTCTTTCCCCTTACTCCCTCCCCCCCCCCTTCCCCGGCAGGAAAACAAATCATCGTTTTTGTTTTATTTTCGAAACATAAACAGATTACCCATTAAGGAGTGGCAAGGCAGCGACCTGTCCATAGTGTTCAAAGAAAGGATGCTACAAGTGAAACTTGAAAATTGATTAGCTCACCTCCTCCTTTATCTCCGATTTGTCCGATTTTTCCGTTTCTACTACGGAATACAGGAAATACGGTATTTGGCCACGCTGAAGTGAAGTGCCATTTTCGCTGAGTGAACAGGAAGAGAAAGTGACACGAGCACCGTTATTAAGGCGGATGTAGTTAACTCCACCTTGAAAAAGAAAACGTATTAGGGATTGAGAGGTAGAGCTTGCCGCTTCACCACCATAAAATTAGTAGATGGACATTATGAAAGGCGTATTGCGTGATAGTGTAGTTCTGGGTTACCGCACCCAGAAATAGGCAGAAAAAAGGTAGGTGTCAAAATTGATCAATCAAAAAGAACAAGTGAGACCGCAATAAAGACCATCAAGAGCACACTGCACTAATTGAAAGAGCGGCTACTGCGATATTCTCAGTCCATCCAGTCGCTTCATTCGGTGAGATCCGCTTGGTAGCGTTAGGTTGAAGCAAGATAATACTTCGAGAAGCGAGGAACTTTAACTTTTGTGAAATTCCTGCCCACCTTCTCCACAATAGGTCTTTCCATTCTCCGGTGTCCACACTTTAATGGCATAGGTGACACCAGTGGCTAGAGTAATCGACTCTGGCAAAACAATGACGCCCGTGTCCGATGTTCCACCGCTGTTCAACTCACATGAGGCTTTCGCCAAAAGGGAGAACTGATCACCTTCGCGAAGCACGTAAATCTGGAAGAGACAACGTTCAGAAGACAGCATGAAGATGAGACTTATGACCGCACTTAGCATGCAAAGTGGAGTTACATATCTGGTGGACGAAACACTTACCTCGCATTGCCATGGTCGCTTCACCTGCTCTGAGTGGAGATATACTCCGACCCCTCGAAGAGCAATTCGCCCCCCGTCAACTCGGATGCAAATCGCGTCCGTCGCGCCCTCGGACATGTCCCATGCGCACACAGCGCTCCGTCTGCGAAACCTATAAATCAACCAAGTAAGGGCAATGTGAAGAATAAATCGTGTTCAACCCTTCCATGGCCAACGACATTGGAGTCTACGGTTTACTGAATATTAAATAACGAGCGCTGAAGTTTTCAGAATTTGAAATTATTCGATTAAATGAACATTCCCTATTATATACAGCGCTTTAGACCTGTCTGTGTGCCTGTCTGTCTATCACAAGATGAGGTACTACCTGAACAGCACCTACAGACCCATGGATGGGGCATGGTTCAAGAAGTACAAAACACATATCAGCTGGGCGTAGCCCTGCCCACAGTGGGGGGGACGCACCGAGGGCGGTGCATACGGCAAAAATTTTGAGTTCTGCTATACATAGTGGAACAGCCCAAAGACCGAAAAAAGGATAAAGGAGTGCACTGATCCGATAAGTCCAGTTAAGGAAACCAGCCCACAGTGGGCGGTGCGCCCTATAAACAGGCGGTGGTTAATAAAAAACTCATCTCGGTCAGGAAAAAGCCAATGGAGCGGGAAGAGATAGGCCTAGGAGAGCAATATCTAAGGTTTTTTCAACATATGAACTGGGCGGAATCCACCCACACTAGTGTGTCCTTGAGTGGAAACTGTTTACTACAAATCCTCATTA